AAAAAATAGTAGGGTATTGTGATGTGCACCTGTGGTCCCAGCTACTCAGGAGAGTAAGGTGGGAGGATCAGTTGAGCCCAGTATGTTGAGGCTGCAGTGAACTGTGATCATGCCACTGCACTCCAGCCTAGGTGATAGAGTGAGACTCTGTCTCAAAAAAAAAAAAAAAAAAATGACGTGATGGATATCTTCATTACCCTAAATTAATCATTATACATTGTATCCATGTATCAAAATATCACATGTACCCCAAAAATATGAACAACTATAACATATCAATAAAAACAAAACAGTCGCTAAGGGCTTGGGCTCCAGAGTCCTGGGTTTCGTTCCTAGCATCTCCACTTACTTGGTGCACTTAGTCCCCTACCTCTTCCTGGACCTAGTTTCCCATGTCCTCAAAGGGAGTGGTGAGACCAGAGCCTAGTTTGTTGTCAGGGGAAGATTGGAAGGATTCAGTTTAAAAGTCCATGGCTAATAAATGTTAGCTCTTAAGTGACAGAGTCAGGATTTACCCCAGATATGCTGAGTCCAAAGCCCTTGTGCTTTTCATGTATACCCTACTCCCTCCATTGATTGTGAAGGACATTATGTGCAATGCAAAGGAGAATCTGGATTTATCCCATAGCAACAGGAAGCACTAAAGTTTTTTAAGATGAGGAGTGATTTGGACTCACCTCATATGTTTGCAAGATCACTGTGTGGAGAGGACCTGGGGGCTAGGGGACCAGGACTAGGGGAAAGGAGAGAAAATGGAGAGGCAGGCCTGGGCACAGTGGCTCACACCTATAATCCCAGCACCAGCCAAGGCTGGTGGATCATTTAAGGCCAGGAGTTCGAGACCATCCTGGCCAACATGGTGAAACCCCATCTCTAGTAGAAATCCAAAAATTAGCCGGGCATGGTGACAGGCACCTGTAATCCCAGGTACTTGGGAGGCTGAGGCAGGAGAATCACTTGAACCCAGGAGGCGGAGGTTGCAGTGAACCTAGATTGCACCACTGCACTCCAGCCTGGGTGACAGAGGGAGACTCTAATGCTCCCTTCTAATGCTGTGGAAAGAAATCCCAGGGTTCCTGGAAGTCCAGAAACTTCGTAACTGACACTGGCTCTAATCTCAGTATACGTAAATTGTGCTTTTTCATGTCTTTCTTCTCTCCCAAGCTGAGAGCTTCTTGAGGGCAGGCACAGTGTCTGACTGTGGCCCTGGTGATGCACAATGAGTATTTCTCAAATGAATGACAGACTGTCTTCCAGCGTTCTACACACACACTGTCTCCCCCATTGTTCACTGCCACAGGAAAGCACTCCCCATGATCCCACCATTGCCCAGTGCTTTTGCAAACCCTCCAACCATCCAAAGTGGGAAAGATTCTCCCACTCTGGCCCGCCTTCTTTTGCATCGACCTTAAGTGATTATGCGGGCACAGTTTATAGCTTGGCCACCAGAGGGCTAGTCTCAATGCTCAGGATTTTTGAGAGCAACTTAAGGGCTTCATTGACATAGCAGCATTTAGAGGCAGATACTTTTGTTAGTTTCAGACTGAATCTGGGGCATCTGTCCATTATGAGGACCTGGTGCCTTTAAAGTACCACTTGCCCTGCTATATCCAGAAATTTATTGGGAAAATCCTATGTATCTTCTTCTAGAGTAAAGGCAGAAAAAAAAAAAAAGGGGGGGGCTGATGTTATGATAATCTGCCCCCTGCAGGACTTTTGAGGGAGAATGGGTCCCTGGGTAAGGGTGGCACAAAGACCGCCCTGAGCTTCAGGCTTGCCTAGTTGGGGTGTTCCACTCCAGCTTCAGCCCACCCCTGGTCGCTTGATCCTTCAAGCTGACAAGCTCTGGACTTGGAAGACTGCTTGGGCAGGCTGCAAAGCCTTTGACCTCAGCTGCTTCATCAGTAAGACACCAACCACATCTGTCTCACAGTCATGTCATGGTAAATGAGCAAACATGTGTCAAAGTGCATTGAAAAATGTGGAGCCCTGTGGCAATATAAGACATGTTTATTATACCTCAATCTCACCACTTAGATCACTACCCAGGGTTAGGATGAACACAAACAACAGCAAATCACAATTATAACAGGTCAAAAGTGGTTTTGAGCACTTGAAGGAAAATGATAGCAAAAAATAACAAGTTTTTAATGATTAAATAGAAATTACTCTTTAGATTGTGCAAGATAAATTACTATTACTCAACATAAAAGTATAATAAAACTTGTTTCAAAAATCAGAAGAGAAATAATCATTGGGACTTTGAATATCAGCATGTCACCCTATAGCCCTACATTTTTACATTTTTTTTGTGTGTGATTGCCTAATTTATTTCAAAACAGTTAAAGTAAGTCACTGGGCACGGTGGTTCATGCCTGTAATCTCAACACTTTCGGAGGCCGAGGCAGATGGATCACCTGAGATCAGGAGTTCAAGACCAGCCTGGCCAACATGGTGAAACTCCGTCTCTATTAAAAATACAAAAAAAAAAAAAAAAAAAATTAGCCGGGTGTGGTGGCAGGTGCCTGTAATCCCAGCTACTCGAGAGGCTGAGGCAGGAGAATCGCTTGAACTCAGGAGGTGGAGGTTGCAGTGAGCTGAGATCACACAACTGCACTTCAGCCTGGGCAACAAAACGACACTCTGTCTCAAAAAAAAAAAAAAGAAAAAAACCAAAGTAAGTCACATACTGTTTTTCCTGATCGTCACACTAGAATTGGTAGATAGTTACTTGGTTTAGATTCTCAAGATAGTACTCTTCTTTATCTAACAGACTCTAGATAATCTGAAGGAAGGGAAACACCATCTACGCGTGCGGCCTGCAGACATACCTGTTGCTGAGAGAGCATCTCTGAACTATTGGCGTACATGGAAGTGTATTAGCAAACCCTCAGAATTTCCAATCAAAAGCCCAGCCTTTACAGGTAAATTGGGATAGACTGGCCCTCCCTAAAGCCCACACCAACTTTCCCTCTCCATACTCTAACAGAAATGGCTTCCATCCAGAGAGCAGAGAGTGCCTGATTTCTGGGGCAGTCTCTGTCATCTCCTTTGATCTTCTGCCCTGCCACAGGCCCTCTCCATGGCTGCTTGCCTGCTGGAACCAACATCCTCCTCCACACTCACTCCTCTGCATTCTGGCTTCACATGGGCAAGGCAAGGCTTCATTCCACTCCCTCCTATTCATCAGGGAATGCCACCATTCTTTCGAGTTTCCTCCAACCATCACACACAGAATGTCCCCAAATGATCATTGTCTGATAGGTGCCTGGCAGCATGGTTCAGCCTATCTGAGACATGAGTACAAAGCATTTATGATTATTAATGGATTTTAGCTTCCAGGAGTGTCAAAAGTATCTATTTTGTCTGTGGATCACTGTGTTTGGTTTGATCAGTTAGAAAGGATCAAATGGGTAAATGAATTTAATGACTTTGGGTACATAAGTCGAAATGTCACATGTCCCACTGCCCTTCACTGTTTATAGAAAGAAAAAAAAAAAAAGATTTCCAGCTGGGCACGGTGGCTCATGCCTGTAACCCAGCACTTTGGGAGGCCGAGGCAGACGGATCACGTGAGGTCAGGAGTTCGAGACCAGCCTGACAACATGGTGAAACCCCGTCTGTACTAAAAATACAAAAATTATCTGGGTGTGGTGGCACATGCCTGTAGTCCCAGCTACTTGGGAGGCTGAAGCAGGAGAACCAGTTGAATGTGAGAGACAGAGGTTGCAGTGAGCCGAGATGGCGCCACTGTACTCCAGCCTGGGCAACAGAGTGAGACTCCCTCTCAAAAAAGAAAAGAAAAAAAAAATAGACTTCCACGCCCCACTTCCTACCACATGCCTTCCAAATCTTAGAGCTACAACTGAAAAGAGAAAGAAGGAAGATGTGTCTGGCAAGTGGCAAGGACCATCTCCTGGGTAGTCTCTCTAGCATCCTCTGGGGCCCCTGGGTCAGTGAAAGCCCTGCTGGAATCAGATCCCCTGGCTTCTGGGAGGTGGCGACACTGCCTACATGTTCTCTTCCAGGCCTACATGATAAGGCACCTCTGGGGCTCATGGACACACCCCTGTTAGACACAGAAGAGGAGGTGCACTACTGCTTCCTGCCCCTAGACCTGGTGGCCAAGTATCCCAGCCTAGTGACTGAAGACAACCTGCTGTGGCTAGCTGAGACGGTGGCCCTCATAGAGTGCGAGTGCAGCGAGTTCCGCTTCATTGGTGATTGCTCTGTCCAGGGGTGGGGTGGAGGGTGGGCTGATAGGGCCCATTCACCCCTCCCCATTACATGTCCCACAGAGGCCCAGCTTGGAGCTCAGGGCCTCAGGAGCTTCCCTGGGTAGAGGTGGTGGAAGCATGACAGAGCCTTCCAGGAGGCAAGCAGATTCCAGCATTAAAATCTTGCTAGACTCAGGGCTATTTTATTCCCTATTTGTTTTGGGATGGCCTGGCTGTAAAAGGGCACTGGAAAGTGTCAGGGACCACAGGAGTTGGTGTGAAGGGCAGGGAGCTCAGCTGGTTGCCAGTCGGCTTCTCTTCTTACTCTGCCCTTATGTATCCAACTGGCCTCCAGGCCTCAGTTCCTCTCACCATAAAATGAGGAATCCAGATTGTTTCAAAGGATGGTGCTACCTGCTCTTAATGTCAGCAAACTCAGAATAAAAGGGAAGGAGGGTAGATAGTGACAGGTTCCCTCAGAGTCATAGCAGAATTGTCCACTTGAGGTAGTGGCCTAAGGAAGGATGAGATTTTCCACCTTTGACAGAGAGGCTCTCTCCCCCTACTGCCCCAGGATGAGCTCTGTTTGGGATGCGAACTGAATGACCTCTTTGACCCCATGATGCTACTGCTATCTAGAGAGATAGGGTAGTAAACATTCAAGTTACACTAGGAACCCAAATGTCTGGAACCCCAGTCATTCATATTCATAGTCACCTAGAAAGTTGTCTGTGATGTGCTTCTGTATCTCCAAGTTGATTCACACAGGACATTAGCGTTGGCTCCATCTCTGCCTCCCATACTGCAGTCCAGGCAGGGACAAACTGCAAGTGCCACCCGCCAGCCCAGGCTCGGCCGGGCCCCTCCTCTCTAAGCAGCAAGACAACTCCCTCTTTTGGAATGACCTGCTCTTGGGTCAAGACTCGCAGGGTAAGTCTCAGGGCCAGTGTGCCCACCAGGAGGGCCTGGCTTGGGAGCCCCAGGCCAAGCCACGGGAGGCCACACCCATGGCCTCAGACACAGGAAAACAAAGTAATGTGGGGTCTTTCACCTTGAAAACCACACACTCAAAGCTAATCTAATCAGGTATGTTGAGAAGTTGTTTCAGAACAAGGAGAACCTAGGATAAGTTACAGCACCAGAAATCTGCCAAAACCAGGACCTGCAGTTAAACCAGAAATAGCCTCATTAACTCACTGTGTTCCCCTTTGTTTTTCAAGTGAATTTTCTTCGCTCACAGAAGATTTTACTACCGGATAATTTCTCCAACATTGATGTATTAGAAGCAGAAGTGGAAATTCTGGAAATCCCTGCACTCACTGAAGCCATAAGGTGGTACCGGATGAACATGGGTATGTCGCCAGGAAACTTTGGCCTCCCCTTGATAGTCTTGGTTTGACCTGGAAAAGCCAAGAACAATCTCCCCTTCCACAACCACTTCGGGCTTTGGGGGTTAGTGAGAGAAGTGGGTCTTCTGGCTGACTCTGAATCCAAGAGGATTCACAGCCTGAAATCCTGCATGCTGCTCTGCCGGCTCAGCCTTCCCACTGAGGGTAGGGAGTGGGCAACCAGCCAGGGGTGTAGGAAGCCCAGCCCAGCCTGGATCAGAAGGAGCCCAGCCTGGGTGGGGAGCCAGGCTGGAATGTCTCAGACCTGAGAGCAGGCTTCTCAGGGGTAGGGGAGGTCTGCCCTGCTTGTGAAAGTGTTGGGGACTAGGAGCACCCACCAGTCACTCCCATCCTTCCTCTTCCAGGTATGGTTGGAGGTGTGGGAAATGCTCAGTGCTTCGAGCATCTCACCTGCCCCCAAATTCCCTCATCACCTCACCTGGAAACTCCCGGCAGATGTGCCTGTTTCTGCCTATTCCTGACACTTGCTGACCCCTGTCCAGCCCAGGCCTTCGTGCTCCCAGCCCTACCTCATTCCAGCTTGTTCTTCTCCTCATGGTTTCCTCAGGGCCGTTCATCATTCCATTTCCCAACTCCGCCTCCATGGAAGCTACTGTGCATGTTATAGGGCACCAGCCACCTAAGCATGGCTTCAGCCACCATCCTGAGAATGTGTAGGACTGCACTGCGCATGGGAAATTTGGCCTGGGCATCACCAGACATTTATCCCATGGCAATCAAGCCTTTCCTTATCTTCAGGCATAGATTTCCCAGCCTTCTCCCAGACAAATAGAAACCCATCCTCTTGACCAGGCGCTGGTGGCTCATGCCTGTAATCCCAGCACTTTGAGAGGCCAAGGCAAGCGGATCACTTGAGGTCAGGAGTTCGAGACCAGCCAGGCCAACACAGTGAAAATCCATCTCTACTAAAATACAAAAATTAGCCGGGCATGGTGGTGTGTCCCTGTAATCCCAGCTACTTGGAAGGCTGAGGCAGGAGAATTGCTTGAACCTGGGAGGAGGAGGCTGCAGTGAACTGAGATCATGCCACTGTACTCAAGCCTGGGTGACAGAGCAAGACTCCTTCTCAAAAAAGAAACCCACCCTCTGTGGGGAGTGGCATGCTGCAGCAGGTCTCAGGACCCTGTCCCAGGGCCTTAGAATCCACTTAAGGCAGTGTGAGTTCAGCCCCTTCCCTCAAAGCCTTCTGTTCCTCAGAGAACATAGATCACTGTGGGATGATAGCATAGTCCCTGCTCCACAGAGCAATGCAAAGATGGAGGAATTGTGTTGACATCCAGGCTATGGAAGCTGGCAGCACTCCTCAAACACAAAAGGTGGCTTTAACATCACAATAAGGGAAACAGCTGTGGTAACCTTGGTGCTGGACAGAGCTGACCTCAAATCCTAGCCTCGCCTCTGCCTAGCTTTGCAGTTCAGGGCAAGATACTTCATTAGCCTCTCAGGGCAGCTTCTTCAGCATGAAATGATGATAGCACTACCCCCTCTTGTAGGGTTGCTCTGAGGATTGGAGATGATCCACGAACATCCCCCAGCAGTGTGCCCACTGGCACATTGTTGCCACAGCAGCAGGGTCCTGAAGGCTGTGATAACTGTATTCTCTGGACTGTACCCTGGGCCCACTGTAGGAGAAAAGGTCCCACCCATAAACCAGCAACCCAAATACCCACCCTGAAAATAATGCCACAAGGTATGTCTCTGGGGGAAATTCTGCCCAGGAGAGCCAGCAATAGGGGCTGTGAATCCAGGAAGCCTGTAACACACATAGAGTTTCCAGGCTATGGTTGCCGTTCCTTACCCTTGGATGGTTACAGTAGAGCTTGGGACTAATGAAGACTCCTGCAGAGGCTGGGGCCAGATGGCTGCTTTCCTGAAACTTAGGAAATTCAGATGCTAGTGATACAGCAAATGAATCCCCCCACTCCCAACTCACCTTCCAACAAATAGTTATGATTTCTAAGCCTGAGTATACAAAAAAATTATACTGATTTTGAGAAGATCTCGACTTGGACTGTGCAAGGAAATATCCTCCCTCTGAGCCTCCTCAGTATAATGGATGTAGCAGTAGGAACCGAGCCCCAAAGCCTCCAATCCAGCTATGACCATGGGGGTCTAGGAAGACCATGCCTTCCTAGAGTTCACAGTCTAGTTCTATACACCCTTTTCCTTGACACAGGTGGCTGTTCCCGGACCACCTGTCCTCCCCTGAGCCCCGGGAAGGGGGCCCGCACAGTCAGCCTGGAGTCTGTGAAGCCGCTCTACACGATGGCCCTAGGTCTGCTGGTCAAGTACCCGGACTCTGCGCTGGGCCAGCTTCGCATCGAGAGCACGCTAGACGGAAGCCGACTGTACATCACAGGGAATGGTGTCCTCTTTCAGCATGTCAAGTGAGGCCCTCCTTAGGGCACGCTGAGTCCCATCACGCTTGGCTCTGCCCTTCCCTCTCGGAATAAACTGGGGCCTTTCCCACTAGCCAGAAGGGAAGTGTGTCCTTGGGGCCAGCCCATCATTTTAGCCATTCCCATCACCAGCACCGCCAAACTACCACCAGGTTAGGGTCTCAAAGGAGAGGGCTGGTGCCAAGGTACGAGGGTTGCTAAGGTTCAAAGGCTTCAGACCATTTCCTCTTTCTGTCCTCTGCAGTCCATTTCCCTGGTTCTAGCCCTGTGCTAGGTCTGAGGTGACCAGGCCACAGTCACACCCTCAGGGAGCTGGGTACCTCCCTGTGCAGACCCCTCTACAAAGGTCCTCTGCCACTCTTGGGAGGCTCACTGGACACACAGAATGGCCATAGCCAGGGGTGAGCCCTCCTTAGAAGCAGGGCATGGCAGGCCAGGCCAGGCTTCCCAGAGGTGCTGATCCCCAGCCCTTGCCTTGTGGGATGAGCTCAGGATGTCTTCAGTGCAGGGGCAAGGAATCTAACCCTGTTTTGTAGAAGGGCAAACTGAGGTGCAGAACAACAGAGCAACTCTCTGAGGGTCGCAAAATAGTCTGGTACCAAAATTGAAGGTAGAAGTGGGTTTTCTGGAGCCCCTGTGAGAGGGTCAGCTGACCCTGAATGCTGTCTTTTCCCAATATTGTTGTTTTGGGCTCTTTTGGCCCATAAAGTCCATTTCTTTCAGAGATGTTCACCCTGATGTCACAGAGGGCAAAGACAGGTGCCTTGGAAGGGAGGGTTTGGAGAAGGGGGTTGATGTTCAGACCCCAGTCTTTTTCCAAGACTGTGGCAGGCTGCGGCACAGTGACTGAGATGTCTTGGGCAAATGCGTATGGGGCAAAAAGGGAGTGGCTGGGCCCTCGGCTGGCCCTGGAACCTGAAACAGGGCCTGGAGACATGAAATTAGTCCATTTAGAGGGCTTTGCTGAAATAAGTCAAGCTCAGTTCCAAAAATGTGACCTGTTATCCAGGCTTACTCTCCTACAAGGTTAGACAGATTTCCAGTTAAAACAAGGAAACGGGCCGGGCGCAGTGGCTCACACCTGTAATCCCAGCACTTTGGGAGGCCAAGGCAGGCAGATCATGAGGTCAAGAGATTGAGACCATCCTGGCCAACATGGTAAAACCCCGTTTTCATGTGGCCACTCAGACTGAAGCTAAGAATCTCCTTACTATAAATACAAAAAATTAGCCGGGCGTGGTGGCGGGCACCTGTAGTCCCAGCTACTCAGGAGGCTGAGGCAGGAGAATGGCATGAACCTGGGAGACGGAGCTTGCAGTGAGCCGAGATCGCACCACTGCACTCCAGCCTGGGTGACAGAGTAAGACTCCGTCTCAAAAAAAAAAAAAAAAAAAAAAGAAACCCCGTCTCTATTAAAAATACACACACCAAAAAAACATTAGCTGGACGTGGTGTTGGGTGCCTGTAGTCCCAGCTACTTTGGAGGCTGAGGCAGGAGAATCGCTTGAACCTGGGAGGTGAAGGTTGCAGTGAGCTGAGATCGTGCCACTGAACTTCAGCCTGGCGACAGAGTGAGACTCTGTCTTAAAAAAAAAAAAAAAAAAAAAAAACAAGGAAACGATGTTAATAATGCCTGATTTGAGCCAGTGTTGTGGCAAGGCATCCTAGGCATGGAAAGTTTACAGGCTCGACTCTATTGGGGTGCAATGCTGATGTTCTTCATAACACGCCTTTCCTCTGGGTAGGAACTGGCTGGGGACTTGCCGGCTGCCCCTGACAGAGACCATTTCCGAGGTATACGAGCTCTGTGCCTTCCTGGACAAAAGGGACATCACCTACGAGCCAATGAAAGTGGCTTTGAAGACTCATCTGGAGCCGAGGACTTTGGCACCCATGGATGTGCTCAGTAAGTGAGAAAGCTTCTAGGTTTGAATTTAGCATCAGGGGAGTATCTGGGGGATTGGAGGGAATAGATGAGGTGGCCAGGACGAGGAACTGTAGATGGAGGAGGAGGGGAAAGCCAGGCCAATATTTTGGATTTTTACGAAAGGGAAACTATAATGTTAAGTGCTCTGTCCTCACCTCCAAGCCCACAATTCATCTCCAGCAGCAGACAGGGCTGTTACCCAGTCTGCAGCCATGCAGGACCCCCAAGGCAGGCCTGCCTTGACCCTGGGAGCTGACTTGCTGTGCTTCTCATAGCCATGCAGGGAGGAGCCTCCTCGATGTTAAACAGAGCTGTCCCTGGGTCCATTTAATAGCTGAAAAATAGGTTCAGAGAAGAAAACTCGCTCAAGTTACACAGTGGTCAAGCTGGGGTTTGACTGAGTCCAAAGCTACTGTTGTTTTCACCAGCTGCCTATAACTTCTTATTACCAAAAATCTGGGGGGCAAAGTTTAAGCTGTATTACTATCATTTAGCACCATTCAACATTTATTGAGTACTGGCCATATACCAGGACAGCAGTAGACATTGGTGGTACAGAAGTAAGCAACAGAGTCTCTGTCTTCCTAGAGTTCACAGTCTAGTTCTATACATCTTACCTCTTGGTTATATAATCTAGTTATATACCCTTCATTCATTACAGAGCTCATTAGAAACTGCTTCCCAAACATCAGAACAAGGCCTACATATAGTCAGCTCCAGGAAAAGGGTCATGGGTTCATCTTCCCAGCATATAGCCCCCATTCTCCAGACATGCCTAGAGGCTTAGTCTCATAAAAGTGACAGGGATTTGATGGGAGTAGGCTCCATGACATTTGCCAAACCACAAACACAAACACGCAGAGGGAGATTCTTAGCTTCAGTCTGAGTGGCCACATGAAAAGCTACACACCCAGGACACACCCAGCCAGAAACTGGAGGCAGTTGGCATTGTAGGTGGACAGGGTCATCAACCCAGCTTTCCTGAGGGAGGAGGGTCAGGTGAAGAGGGGCAGTGCCCTTTCCCACCTCACCACCCAGGAAACCTTGCAGCAAGCAACGTTTATGTCAGGGATTTCTGCTGCTTCTCAGAGTAGGCAACACAATATGACTGAGGAAAGATATTGAGACTTAACATGAAATACACTACTGACCAAAGGGCCCTACCTGCTTTCCCTTCTGGCCATATGATTATGTTCTATCTCGATTCCCATAGATGAGTGGACAGCAGAGATCACTGTGTATTCCCCACAACAGATCATCAAAGTGTATGTTGGAAGCCACTGGTATGCAACCACCCTGCAGACACTGCTGAAGGTACTGCCAGCCTTGGCTGCCCTGCTCCCCATCTGGCATCACCACCTGAGCTGCTCTGGGGGCCATCACCTGGCCCTCACACAGCTTCCAGCACTTGCTTAGAACAAAGACTTTCCCGGAAGGCGCAGTGGCTCATGCCTGTAATCCCAGCACTTTGGGAGGCTGAGGTGGGCAGATCACGAGGTCAGGAGTTCAAGACCAGCCTGACCAACATGGTGAAACCCTATTTGTACTAAAAATACAAAAATTAGCGGGGTGTGGTGGCACGTGCCTGTAATCCCAGCTACTTGGGAGGCTGAGGCACCAGACTCACTTGAACCCAGGTGGTGGAAGTTGCAGTGAGCCGAGGTTGCCCCACTGCACTCCAACCTGGGTGATGGAGTGCAACTCTGCCTCAAAAAACAAAACAAACAGAGGGCAAGTGAACCGAGCAGCCTGCTGGGAAGGCCCTCTGGAGTTTGGGTAGGGAGGGGGCCAGCTCTGAGGGGCCTGGACTGAGAAGGAGGTACGGTGGGCTTCCAAATGCCTTGAGATGGTGGTCTAGGGGCCATGAAAAGTTGAAGCAGGGATGATGTGCTTCTCCCTGGATGCTCTGCTCCCTACCATAGTTCCCTGTGACTGACAAGACAGGGAGATGGAAATCTCAAAGCTTCTGCTCTAGTGTAGTTGGGAAAGGGGAGTGAAAGAAGATTGGCCTGTCCCTTCCCAAAGACCTAGGCTCTGAGACTGAGTCTGGTGTCCAACCCCCTCCAGTATCCAGAACTGCTGTCCAACCCTCAGAGAGTGTACTGGATCACATATGGACAAACCCTGCTCATCCACGGGGATGGCCAGATGTTCCGACACATTCTCAACTTCCTGAGACTTGGCAAACTCTTTTTACCATCTGAATTTAAGTAAGTGAAGCAAGGACACAGTAAGATGAAATCATGAAGGCTGACCCCTCCCTTAGCAACAAAGGAGACCTGATTTGCAGCCTTCAGGGAGGAGGTTATTTTATTTCGGCGGCAGCATCTCCAGGAACTTATGCCCCCTCCCACACTCCCACCCTAGCTGCCCAGTCAGACATCTTGTCATTTGTAGGGAATGGCCCCTCTTCTGCCAGGAGGTGGAGGAATACCACATTCCATCCCTCTCAGAAGCCCTTGCACAATGTGAAGCATACAAGTAAGGAAACTTTTTCACGACTCTATGTTTAGAATTTGGTCCTTTAAATTCCTCTTGAAATCCTGTCCTAAGTCCCACTCCTAGAGGATCCTGTTCTCCTTGGGGTTGAGGGAGTGAAGCAGGCCCAGGATTGGCCAGTGACCTAGGCAAAACCCTTTAAGAGCCCCTTCTTCTCTGCTGTCTAGCATTAACTCCCAGCCAAAGGGCAGATCTGACCAACTGGCCAATGGCCTGATGGAAGTCTCTGCTCACTAACCCACCCCTCTTTCTGCAGGTCATGGACTCAGGAGAAAGAATCTGAAAATGAAGAAGCTTTTCCCATCAGGAGGCTGCACGTGGTGACAGAAGGGCCAGGGTCACTGGCAGAGTTCAGTAGAGACACTAAAGAAGTAAGCCCCAGCCTCCTCTGGTTGTTGTTGTCCTCAAAAACCACTACCACCAGGCTCAGGGTGGAGGGAGGCAGGCTCAGCTACTGAGGGATGCAGTAAAACGAAAGAGCAGGGCCTACATGGATTTCTAGGACAGAACCTGGTTTCTGAACCGTGAAGGAGGCACAGGAACTTACTGGCCACTTGTGGCCTGCGATGCTGATTGAATCTCCTGTTGGAATGACAGGCCACTGGGCTGGTACTACCCCTACTCAGCCTGAGCAAAGCTCAAGTGGGTGACCCCTATCAGGGATGAGATTGTTCAGGGAGAGCAAGTGAAGTCCTGGAGGCCCAGCTTATTAGATCTTGGGCAAGGTGTTGATGTCCATGCCCAACCTATCCAGAGTTACTGTGCCCTTCCCTCCCCAGACCACAGCCTACATGCCTGTGGACTTTGAAGACTGCAGTGACAGGGCTCCATGGAACAAGGCTAAGGGAAACCTGGCCAGGTCCAACCAGATGGAGGAGGCTGAGCAGTATACCCGGCCCATCCAGGTGTCCCTATGCCGAAATGCCAAGAGGGCTGGCAACCCCAGCACATACTCACACTGCCCTGGCTTATGTACCAACCCCGGACACTGGGGGAGCCACCCTGAGAGCCCCCCAAAGAAGAAATGCACCACAATCAACCTCACACAGAAATCTGAAACCAAAGACCCTCCCGCCACTCCCATGCAAAAACTCATCTCCCTGGTGAGAGAATGGGACATGGTCAATTGCAAACAGTGGGAATTCCAGCCACTGACAGCCTCCCGGAGCAGCCCCTTGGAGGAGGCCACCCTGCAGCTCCCCTTGGGAAGTGAGGCTGCTTCCCAGCCCAGCCCCTCAGCTGCCTGGAAAGTCCATTCCACAGCCTCAGAGAAGGATCCAGGACCACAGGCAGGGGCTGGAGCTGGACCGAAAGACAAGGGGCCAGAGCCAACCTTCAAGCCATACTTCCCCCAAAAAAGACCCATCACCCTGAAGGACTGGAGCAAGCAGAGGACCAAGGAGAGAGGTGAGTCCTGTCCCACTTTGATCTAAGTCTTATTCACAACAGAGAAGGCAAACTCCTTGGCCAAGATGGCAGAGCAAGTTAGTGACAAAGGAGGACTAGACCCCCCCTGCTCACCAATGCCATCTCTGTGCCAGGCAGCAGACACAGAAATGACCGGCACATTGGCATGGCTGGAGGGGCCAGGAGAACACATGGTGAAGGGATGAGCGCTGTGGGAAGAGGGTGCCTGTGAAGCAGGAGCACAAAAGAGGCTGAGGGCTGGGGAGTCAGCAGGGGAAGGATGAAGTCCAGGATGTTTGGAAGTGCAGGGCATGAGTCTAGCTGGAGGCCAGGCTTCATGTGCAGATGTGATAAAAGATGAGGCTGAAGACAGAAGTCATCAGGACAGGGCTTGCGGGCCAGCTTCAGGATGTGGTACTCCGTTCTGACCAGGACAGGAGTGAGCAGCCTCTGACGGATTTTAGACAAGAGCACAGGGATCAGGTGTGCCCATCAGAAAGTGTGCTCCAGGAGCAGAGGAAATGCAGCAGGAGCTAGGTGTTCGAAGCCACTTGGAGTTCTTTCTAGGCTAGGGGAAGGAGGCTAGGCAGCTAGGGGATGGAAGGAGGGTTGGGCCAAGGAGGAGCCAGGTTTCTAGCCTGTGGGACTACAAGGGGGTGGATGGGCCCTTACTGAGGTGTGAGTAAGAGAAAGAGCAGAGCTTGGGGAAGGACACACACTAAGTGTGAAATGCCAAGGGACATCCAGGTGGAGAAGCCCAGGAGGTAGCAGGGGCTACAGGGACTGAGCTGGATAGTGTGTGTAGCCAGCTAAGGGGAGGCGGCCAAGGAACTGTGCTGATAATTGCTGTGCCAGGCTGCTGCCTCTGCTCCCTCAAAGCCCTGCCTGCAGTATTGTCACCTTCCCTATTAGTGGCTCCAGCCCTGCTTGGAGGGGCCTTCTTGGACTCTTGCCTGTGAGCCCTAAGTTGGTCTGTTAAGCTTGGGATGACAAAGCATGTCCACTCTCTGGACATGCATCAAAGGCTGGCCCCAAAAGCTCTCAACTTAAAATTTTATATAGATTTCTAGCCCTCAGCTGGGTTACTGTCCACTCCATTTGAGACGTCTTAATTCAACAGAGGAATCTGGAGTTTCTTGGAGTTCCAAAATGTTCAGGATTTGACTTGCAGTGATGCCAGGGCAATGAAGAGAGGAGCGGCCAGGACAGGCCCCTGCCAGCCCAGGGTGTCACTTCTGAGAAACTAGAGATGGCAGCTGTTGCAAGGCTGGGGTAACTTGATTGTACTGTCCTGTCACCAGAGGTCCCCTCCCTCCTTGGGCTCTGAGGTAGCTTAAGGAGAGCCCCTGCTTAGGTAGATTTGATGGTAATTGAAGAAAAGAATTTTAAAAGCCTGGGTGTGGTAGCTTACACCTGTAATCCCAGCACTTTGGGAGGCTGAGGCGGGTGGATCACCTGAGTTCAAAAGTTCGAGACCAGCCTGGCCAACATGGTGAAACCCCATCTCTTCTAAATATACAAAAATTAGCCAGGCATGGTGGCACATGCCTGTAATCCCAGCTACTCAGCAGGCTGAGGCAGGAGAATTGCCTGAACCTGGGAGGCAGAGGTTGCAGTGAGCCAAGATTGTGCCATTGTACTCCAGCCTGGGCAACAAGAGCAAAACTCTATTTCAAAAAATAATAATAATAATAAATTTTTTTAAAAGGAGAGCCCCCTCCCTATATTGTTTTCACAGAAATCCCTGCCCCTGAGCAGCCTCTGCCTGAGGCCAGTGAGGTGGACAGCCTAGGGGTTATCCTCAAAGTGACTCACCCCCCTGTGGTGGGCAACGATGGCTTCTGCATGTTTTTTGAGGACAGCATCATCTACACCACACAGATGGACAACCTCAGGCATACACCACCCACAGCCAGCCCCCAGCCCCAAGGTGAGGCTCTGGAACCAGGCCAAGCCCTGTGCCTCCTCGTGAGGATGCCTGAGCCCCCTCCCAGGTTATTTCAGGCAGAGACAGTGGCCTGGGGGCCCTACCCCTCTCCCCCTCCTCACACTGTCTCTAAGGCCCTATTGTTGACAGATGTGGCCACATCTACTTTCCCTCCTCCACAGAAGTGACTTTCCTGAGTTTCTCTCTGTCCTGGGAAGAGATGTTTTATGCACAGAAATGTCACTGCTTCCTGGCTGACATCATCCTGGATTCCATCAGGCAAAAGGACCCCAAAGCCATCACAGCCAAGGTGGTCTCCCTGGCCAACCAGTTGTGGGTATGTGTGATAGGCCCCAGGCCCTGGGGCACCCTGTACCTTCTCCACCTCTTCCCCTGTCCCACAGTAAGTGGTGCAAGGCAAGAGGAAGTAAGCCAAGATGGGGTTAAGGAGAAGGCCAGGACCAGAAGAGTGGTGGGACAGGCAGGGACGGGCAAGCAGAGCAGTTGCACCTGGACTGAGCCTCAGCCAAGAGGCAGATTTGCAGTGACAGTGCCTGCCCCCTACCTCTGTGGCTCTGCAGGCCCAGAGAAGTCACTGCTCTGCAT